TTCTATACATAAAGTTAAGAGTTGTTTGTCCAAGGACACTTTGGCAGTTACTATCAGAGAGAGGGCCTGGAACCAAGTTCCCTGATATTCATCTTTCTAGTGTCTCTTCCCTTAAATTATTTCAACCCTTTTTCGGTCTGTGATGAGTTAAGTATCATTATGATATAAAGGGAATTAAACTGTGTGCCCAAGATTTTACATAGAGTCAGCAGAAAAGTTGGCATGAGGAAATGTTGGCTGCTTTCCTCCTGTTCTCTCTGTCCTGAAGTGCTTAATGAGCAGCTGAAATATTTCAGATCATAATCTCATATGATAGAACTGCAATTTTGCAACAGAATTTACATGGAGGGCAGTTCATTCAAAAGAAGTGACTGTCACTTAGCAGTTGGATGCTGCCCACAGGTGCAAGTTTAAAGGTGCTCTTTAGAAATAATAGCTCACAGCTGGGCTTTTCCAGTGTGCCTTGAATCCACGGTGAGCTTTTGTTCTAACAGAAATCACCCAACTTCTGCCTGCTTGAACTCGCAGTTGTAGTTTCCTGACTATTGACAAGAGGCTTATCCTTCAAATTCTTCTTTGGGTGCTCTTGAAATGTGTGCCTCATAGATGCCCTGGTTGTCTCTTGTTGAATTTTCTTTGTGAGCTAAAGACCGAATGTTCTCTGCTGCGCCAATAGCACTCTCCCATATGCACTTAGGGGAAGCTTTGCCTCCTCTCAACAGGGCTCAAAAGTCTTGACTGGAGTACTTCAGAAATAGGCCTGGTTTATACTTTTATAAAAACAAGCAGAGTCTTGGCAAGTCCTAGCTTGGAATAGCACTGATGATCTGAATGTTTCCTAGACAAGCGCATAAATGGAACTACCAAAGGAAAATGTGTGGCTCTCTGATCCATACTCAGAAAAGAGAGAGGGAACCATCCTTTCACTTGGTAAAAGCGAAGGTGGGCATTGCATGAAAAGAGAGGCCGGTGTTTTTGTGGAGAAAACGTTGCCGGCAAGGGGATGTGTAATGCAGACAATGACATTCGGGAGACCTTCCCAAGTCTATCCTTCAGTTTGAGGGAGAGAAGTTGCATTTTCTTTTCCTTTTTGATGGAATATGCGCGAATCTGTACATTTGAAAAACAGAATAAATTATTAAAAATGGTAATGGAAAAATCTTGAACCTGGAATTTGCATAAAACTTGGCCCTGAGCATACTGTATTTATTAGCATACTTTGGAGTTCCTTCCAGAGGAACTTTGTACCAAGAGACCCGTTGCAGACCTGCCTAATTGTGCGGACCTGCCTAATTGTGCGGAGTTAGGGAGAGCTGAAATTCTGTCTTCTATTCTAAGGGGGCCTAAGTGAAGGGGAGAGTTTGCCTTATCGCATGAAGGTCTCATAATGAATAACATTGACTCAACCAGCATATGATAAGTGAGAAAGCTGGAGAACTTTGAAATATCTTCTCTTTATTCCATCCCCCTCACAACCATCTCCCAACATAAACCTATCTCTCGCTTTCCTTTTTTTCATTTCAGAAGGGTTGCGGGGGGGGGGGGGGGGTGGGGAGCAAGGAAAGAAAATGTAAAGTGGACTTATATTCATTTCCTAAGAATGTAAAAGCAGTTCCTGCTACTTTTCTGGAATTCTCTCTAACAATTGGATCCCTTTTGACTTCATCTCCTCCTCAACTGTGTTTTCTCTGAAGTGTAAACTCAAGGTTTGGAGTGCAGACTTTAATACTAATTGGATTGTGTGGTGTTTATATCAATTCATTAAAACTCTCAGTGATGCAGTTTCCTCATCTATAAAATGGGGAAATGTTGCTGTCCAGGTGACTGAGGATTCAGTGATATAAAATATAAACAATGATTAGCACATTGCTAGGCACATAGTGTATACTTAATACATGCTAGCTATTACTATCACTGTCACTGTCACTGTCTTCCCGTTGTTCATTGATTTTCTCGAGCGGGCCCAACAACGTCTCCATTTTGAGACTTGTTACTGTGTTTGGCATATTGAATACATCATGGGTAGCTTGCCAGACTCTGCTGTGTGGGCGAGATACTCTTGGTAGCTTACCGGGCTATCCAAGAGGGGTGGAGGAATTGAACCCAGCATGGCCAGGCTGTTACTATACTGATAGGTAATATCCTAAAATTTTGTTTGACAGTAGATAAGCAAAAACTAGCAGAAATTTTTGTAGTACTAATTTTCTTTTTTTTTTAAAAAGAATTTAATTGAATATCTGAGAGATTAGACCATTACAAAACTGTTTATAATTGGGTTTCAGTTCATGCAGCACCCATCCTTCCACCAGTGTACACTTTCCACCACCAATGTCCCGTTTCCCTACCACCATCTCTCAACACCCCAACCCCACAACCCCCAGCCTTCCTCTATGGGAGGCACTTTCCTTCTTGCTCTCTCTCTCCTTTTCCTTTTGTGCATTATGGTTTGTAATGCAGGTGCTAAGAGGTCATGGTGTTTGTTCAGGGCATTTGGTATTTTTATCAGAACAGTAAGACTGGAGTAGCTTTTCAAATGGGTGGCAGATTTGGGTGTGGAAGTGACTGCTGAGGCTTTAGGAAGTACAAGGAGGTAGGGGTATGTAGCCCATCTTGATCCTGAGAAAATCTGGAGATTTCAGTCACAAAAGCCGCATACCAGAATTTTCAGCAGATTATGTCTTGGTGAGATCCATCCTGAGATAGTGGAGTCAGGCCAGGGGTATGGTGGTGATTTTGGATTGTGGGAGCAAGCAGCTGCTGGGGGCCCTGCTTGGGCAAGCACCAGGATGACCAGCTCCCCTCCGATTTACCCTGGTCTGTTCAGCCTTGTGCATGTCCGAGATTAAATGCGGCTTTTGATCTCTTTTGAGATTAATATATGGGTTTCTGAAGCAAGGGTGGTAGTAGAGCTTACATGGTGGCACTGGAGTTGGTTTGTGAGGGGTGACTGCCAGTGCTCCCAGAAGTATTGGAAAGTGGGGGTAGGTAGCCCATTCTGATCCTGAGAAAGCCTGGAGATTTCAGTCACAAAACACACATACCTGAATTTTCAGCAGATTATATCTTGGCGAGGTCCATCCTGAGATGGTGGAGTCAGACCAGGGGTATGGTGGTGATTTTGGATTGTTGAAGCAAGCAGCTGCAGAGGGTTCTGCTTGGATGGGCACCAGGCTGACCAGCTCCCCTTTGATTTACCCCAGTCTGTTCAGCCATGCACATGGCCAAGATTAATTGTGGCTTTTGATCTCTTTCGAGATTTATTTAGAGGCCTCTGAAATAAGGTCAATAAATGAACTTGTATAGCTGAGTCAGAGGTGGCTTGTGGGTGTGACACCCACATACCTAACTTTTGGCTGTTTAATTTCTTGGTAAACTTGGTCCCAAGTTGTTGGGGTCTGGTCAAAGGCACAGCGGCGATTTGGGAGTATCAGGAGGCCTGAAGGCACCATCAGGCTGCTGATGAACTCACCCCATAGGTGTAGGTTGACCTGCTGGTGGGACCATATGTCCTGTAATACTAATTTTATGATTCATGAGCAGCTTCAAAATGAACATGTCTCCTGGGACTACCAAGTATTTTGGCTTTTCTTTCAGAACCAGACTAAATTGGCAACACTTGGTTCCAACAAGATGCAGCATTGCCTGAAGATCTTTTGTCATGATGATCCTGTGCATATTCGAAGAATTATTTTAGAAAAATTGGATAGAATTGGACTTTAATGGTGTACTTCATATAGAATGTGCAAATATTGATCTATAATCTGTATACCTGAAATTTATATTACATTACAACACAGTGTTTATTTCAATAAAAATTATATTACAAACTGCATTCTAGTGAATACATTTTGCTTATTTGAGGAAAAGAAAAAGAATTTGTTTTTGGCCATACCTGATTGTGCTCAGGGCTTATTCCTGGTTTTGTGCCCAGGGGTCTTTCTTGGCTGTGCTCAGGAAACCAAATGTGGTGGTGGTGGTGGAGTGTTGAGGGCATTGAACTGGGGTTAGTCTATACTATCTCTCTGGCCCCAGGGGATATTTTTAAAGGTACATTGTAATTAAATTAGGTAAGGATTTTAAAACTATTTTGGCATGTATCTAGTAAGATTCTTAAGAGTCAACAGTTCAGCTTGGAATTAAAGTGTAATATAGATGGTGCTTAAATATTAGCTTTGTTTTTGTTTTGTTTTAATTTAAGAAAAATGGAAAGCAAATCTAGACAAAGTTAGAACCTTTCTTGAATTTTTCATGGCAATACCATTTGGATAGAGATTGAGAACTTGGATTTGAATCTTGGCTGCTACCTACTACCCCAATTACATGCCCTTTCTTGGCCCTTTCTATATCTCTCTGACAGGTTACTGATATTGCCATGATAGTATCACTATAGGAACTATGTCGGAAAATAACATGAGAAAATCAAGCAGTGCTTGGCATTTAGTTTAGTCTATGGTGTTTTATTTTCTCATCCCTCTTTTAAATTTCCTCCTTGCAGCAGAATTTTGTTTCGGAGAGCAGTGAATAATTAATTTCAGATCAGAGATGCCCAGCATGGGTTAGTCTTAATTTTTAAAATTATTAATTATTATTATTATTTGTTATTGTTAGGTTACACTGGTGGTACTTGGCAGAACATACAGTGCCAGGGATTAAGCCCACTTGAGCTACATCATTGGCTACCTGGACTGGAAACATTGAGTCTTATTTTTGTTAATGTTGTTGCTTTAGGTCACACCCCTGATGCTCAGGGGTTACTTCTGACTCTGCATTCAGGAATTACTCCTGGCAGTGCTTCGGGAAATATATGGAGTGCCAGGGATCTAACCTGAGTTGGGCGCATGCAAGGCAAATGCCCTACTCGCTGTGCTATGTCTCCAACCCCATTGAATCTCATTTTACTGCTGTAAGTCCACTATAAACTTGTGGGCTGCTTGCAGAAGCAAAAAGACTTCCTTTGCCTGTTGGCCTGGCACATATTTACCTCACCCTCTCTTTTTCAGTATTCAGGATTTCACACGGAAAGATCTGAGTCTGACCATGACAGCCAGTGGGGTGGAAGCCCCCTGACCGACACAGCCTCTCCGCAGCTCTTGGATCCTGCCGACAGGCCCGGCTCTCAGCATGATGCATCCTGTGCCTACAGACAGTACTCTGACCGAGGCTCCCTTTGCTACGGTTTTGCCCTGGACCATTCCCGGCTGGTGGAGGAGAGGCATTTCCACACCCAGGCCTGTGAGGGAGGCCGCTGTGAGGCAGGCAGGTACTTTCTGGGGACGCAGCAGGCTGGGAGGGAGCCCTGGTGGGGCTCTCGAGCAGCCTTGCCCCTGACCAAGGCCTCCCCAGAGAGCAGAGAAGCCTATGAGAACAGCATGCCTCACATCGCTTCGGTCCACAGGATCCACGGTAAGAGCAGCTGCAAAGACTCCTGAGTCCACACAGCATTAGGCCTTCTGGCAGGTTGATAATATCCCAGGTGTAACACCAGAGTGACCTACCCAGTGGTTTTGTCTTTTGAACTCACAGGTCAGAAATTCTTGCCAATGGGATGTAAAAAACTAATTCCACTCTTTTAAAAGTATATTACTTTTGCTGAAGATTGCTAAATCCACTCATTTATTAACCTCTGTGGTTCTCTGGGCATTGCATATACCTCCATTAAGTGAAAGGATGCCAGATAGAAACCTCCTGAAGTGACCCTATCTGGAGATTTTCATATGGTCTCACAAGCACTCAGAAATGGGCATCACAGTTAAGGCATTTATAGTGTTAGCACTGCTCTTTAAAAATCATACTTTTTAATAGTTTTAAATTGAATCACCATGAATTACAGAGTTACAGAGTTATTCACGGTTGAGTTTCAGGCCTGCAATGTTCCAACACCAATCACCTTCACCAGTCCCATCCCCCCTGCCCCCTCAGCACCCCCCCCACCCCACCCATACTCCAATTCCCCAGGTCGCAGCCTGCTTCTATGAGTAATGCACTTTGTTCATATGTACACAACAAACAGGTCAAGGGGAACTTATCTTGTCTATGTTTGGGTCCAGGGAAGTTTTTTTTTTAAATTTTATTTTGTTGGGTTTTTTATTTGTTTTTGTTTTGGGGACACATCCACTGGTGTTCCGGGATCACACCTGGCTCTGTGCTCAGGGAGACATCTGGGTTTGTGTTTGGGGGACCATATATAGTGCTGGGATTTGAACCATTGTCACAGCCATAGTCCCAGGCGGGTCTTTGAAATCATCACTGTTCATTAAAAGTTAGTGACATTAAGATGGACTCCACAGCCCTGATAGGGCTTTTGTTGCTGGTTTTAAGATGAAAAATGTGCCAGACCATAGTGTACTCAACTTTAAAGTCTCCTGTTAAATACTGCTCAAACATTGACAGCCTTCCATGGATTATTTTCATTTGTTTCCATTTTTGCGTTCAATTTTGCTGCCTTTACTTTGAGTTTCTTTAGTTTCTCTAGTTTGGTAGAACTGTAATGAAAACTCAGGGCAAAGGGCAATTGCCTGCTCAGGATTGGAGTGAAGTGAAAATCCTGGCTTAACCTAGATAGCATGGGAGAAAATATTAGAAACACAATAAGAAGAAGGGAAAAGGAAAGCAATGAAGAGTGTGATCCAGGCCTCCTCTGATGCATTAAGCAGTTTACAGTTTTCATATGTCTCTTGCCATTTTTTCTTATATTGACTTCAGACTATTTGAGAATAATTTAGTTTGTGGACTAAATTTTGTATGCACTATTCTTCATATTATATCTCTCCTTTGTTCAGAGCACATTTTTTTATCTGTTCTTCACCTTGTTTGAGAAACAGGATAGCAAAGTCATAATATGATTTTTGTGTGAAATTGGGATTCTAATATTAGATTTAGAAACCACACTTATATTTTTGATTGAGACAGAATATGTACATTTTGATACATAAGTATATATAGAAATATATTTACCCTCAAATATCCAAAACCCTGAACATTAGACCTTTTATTATAACTCTACCTAATACAGTTAGCAATATTAACATTTTGGATGATCATTTGGAATTGGGACAATACTACATTACAATTTGCCATATCCCTCAAATGCTCAATTGAGAACATTTTCTTGGCATCAATTTAACATAATACTTTTCTGTAAGGTAACAAAAATCAGAAACAATACTCTTTCCTTTTATTATTTATAGCCAAAGATAGCTAATGACATGGACACATGAAATATGCTTATACCCAGTTTACAATTTTGCAAATGGGCAGTCATGGCCCATGGATAGGCTTTATTTCTCAGTCTCATTATAGACTACATTTTTGCTTGAAAGCAACTGAGAACTTTGAATATCAGTACAATACATTGATGCTCTGTTCTGTGAGTTTGTGTATGTTTCAAGGATTGGTGCATGAATTAACAGTGAAAGATGTAAGTTTTTTTTTAATAGGAAAAAGAAAGTGACTGGTGAATTTTGAAACTGCTCACTGTTTACTTTCTCTGATTCTAGGGCGAGGTCATTGGGATGAAGATAGTGTGGTTAGTTCTCCAGATCCTGGATCTGCCAGCGAATCAGGTGACCGGTACCGCACTGAGCAATATCAGAGTAGCCCACACGAACCAAGCAAAATTGAAACTCTGATAAGAGCTACCCAGCAAATGATTAAAGAAGAAGAGAACAGATTGCAGCTAAGGAAAGCCCCTGCAGATCAACTGGCTTCTGTTAACGGAGCTGGGAAAAAGCACTCCCTCTGTTTCGCAAACTACCAACAGCCTCCACCAGCAGGCGAAATCTGCCATGGACCTGCTCTTGCCAGCACTTCACCATGTGACCATATCCAGCAGAGAGAGGGCAAGATGCTGAGCCCCCACGAAAACGACTATGACAATAGTCCCACCACACTGTCTCGGATAAGTAGTCCTAATTCGGATCGCATTTCAAAATCCAGTTTGATCTTACCTAAAGACTATCTACATTCAGATATGTCTCCTCATCAGACCACAGGAGACCATCCCATCATCTCTCCAAACTGCTTTGGCACTCACCGGCAATATTTTGATAAGCATGCTTACACATTAACTGGATATGCTCTGGAGCACTTATATGACAGTGAAACAATTAGAAACTATTCCTTAGGCTGCAATGGTTCACACTTTGATGTAACTTCCCATCTAAGAATGCAACCAGACTCAGCACCAGGACACAAGGGAACATCTGTTATAATAACCAATGGAAGCTGATGTTTTTCTAAATTATTTTGTTCTATAAGAGTCTCTGAAGTATATTTATAGTTTAATTTCCCATTGCCAGCATTCATTATGCCACAGATTGTTAGGAAAGTTATTGGGTATTTGAGATGTGTTCCTGTGAAATAAAAGGAAGCAGCACTAGCATTCAGGATTATATACAGGTAATAGAGTGAAAGTGAGCACACAAATTGCCCTCTACTTGTATGGAAACTAGAATAGATTAATTTTGAATTTAAAAATACCCATATGGATTAGATGAGCGTATGTACTACAAGGACGGGATGGGTTGTTACATTGCATTTTGATAAAACAAGACACCTTATACATACAGACTGCTGTCCAGAAACTGCTGTACATATACTACATGCAGAAATAGATTGTGTACCATAAACACACCCCAAAGAGTAACTTTCATTAATCCTAACATACTTAGTTTCCTAAGTAAATTTCAACTCCCCAATTGAGAGAGTGAGATTGAGAGAGAGAGAGAGAGAGAGAGAGAGAGAGAGAGAGAGAGAGAGAGAGAGAGAGAGAGAGAGAAACACTTTCAAACTGGTTTCTTCCTTGAGATTTCAACCTGCCAACTTATTTGTTTAGGTTTATATTTTGGCTTATATTTGGGAAATAGTTCTGAATGTAGTACAAGGATGATTTTTTGCCTGATATTTATTACAAGCTATCATGAAATGGTGATTTTTTTCATCTTACTTTGGAGTCAGACAAGGAACAGTATCACACTATCACACTATTAAGGGTTTTCTAGGGAAAAACACAGATGCTGTGGTACACATCAGACAAAAAAATCTTTATGCTCAATTGGAAATAATTTAGTGGAAGTGGAAAGGCAGAGACAGAAGAAATAAAATGATATGTCAAAGCAAACAGTCTAAGTCTCAGATATGTAATCAGCATATCTGGAGCTTATGAAACCAACCAAATAAAAAAGTAAGAAAAAATTCACCAATAGTGAAAAAAGGCTGGTGAGTGCAAAAAATAACAAAAGGAAACCTGGTAAAATGGTGCGTGACCGCAGTTTCTTTGAAAGTATTTTGAAGCCCAGATATACAAGTGTGGCAGTACAGAGAAATTGTTCAGAGAGAGTTAAGATAAAAACTAGGGATGACAGATATGTCATTAATAGGGCAAGAATCAAACCCAGAAAGAAAAGGCAAAGCATTTGTTTTCCTTATTTGGTAAAAGAGAAAACAAATTTGGTCTTACATTCATTGGATAATACAGGAAAAAATAGCTGACCACATGATAAGATCTCTGTTTCCGGTTCTGACCTGTATGCAACTTACTTAGGAACATGGGAGTCAATTCTTTATGTGATCACCCTGAGGATCTGTAGTTCATTGATGCAGTAGAACTGATGTCATTATCAGGACTGTATCTTGAGTTGTCAAGACTAGTTATTCTGACTGTTCTGCACACAGACAGAGGACTAGATGAGGTGCTTAACTTAAGCAGGAGCATTGAGCTCTTTTAAGCCTATCTGATAAAGGTCAACTTTCTAGATCCAACTAAAATAGGGATGGTAGAAATTGATGAGGGAAAAGAAAAATAAGATTTACTTATTGCATTTTTCTCTAAAAGAAAAGTGAAGTGGCTGAAATACTTAGAGAAGCTTTTATTACCTATGAATAATAAATAAATGCTTGTTATTCATAGATAATATTTCCTGTGAGTCCCACACCTGAAATTCTTGCCATATTCAAGAAGGGAATTCATGGAAGGAAAATGAGAAGAACTTGATATGTAGTTTTGACCACACGACATGACATTAGCCTCAGGGATAATTAGCATATTTTCATCTCTTAACACCAAGTTTTGGGCAGTCTATAGGAATGTGATGATCTGAATGATAAAATATGAAATATAACTTCATATTTATTGAACATGGCATAGCAAGATTTGTTCTGTAAGTGAAAAGATATGCAAGCAAGAAAGTTAGTGGGTAAGTACATACTTTAAAAATTCAAAGTATAATTTAATAATAGCACAGCAGGTAGGGCGTTTGCCTTGCACATGGCTGATCTGGGTTCGATTTCCAGCATCCCATATGGTCCCCTGAGCATCTCCAGGGGTAATTTCTGAATGTAGATCTAGGAGTAATCCCTGAGTATCACCAGGTGTAACCAAAAAAGCAAAAAACAATGCAAAGTATAATTAAAAACTAAATTTTAAACAGTGCATGCCAATATTTCAAATATCATCTTATTAAGTAATTTGGAAAAGATACTTGTGAGAAACCCCAAGATACTTAAAACGGCTTAGATAATTTGCAGAATGAAATAGGGTTTTAAGAATTACAAAAATTTTGCAGAATTCTGTTGATTTAGGTTCAAAGACCTAAATAATGAAAGAATATGATGTATTTTAGGAAGTTTATATTTATGGGTTTCACTAATAGATATATATTCTACTGAACATATCAGGGATAGGTGCTGAAAAAAATAGAATCTTAAGAATAAGGGACAATATGCTTATATGAAAGAATAGAGTGTCAGTGGAATTTTTATGTGAAACATAGTAATTGATGAAAGGAATAAACTGAGCTCTATAAATAAGGATAATCAGAATGAGAAATGTACTCTAAAATGTATAATCAATATTTTGAGTGAAGATAAAATAAACTAATTTCATCTTAGAAATTTTGTTAGATTATTCCAGTTTAAAGTAGACAACTGTTTATTTTACTGAATGTTAGGATTTTATAGTGGCAGATATATTACACATAACACCTTAAGGCCCCAAACTTACATTTTTGGCAGTGTAGTATGATTATTACAAGTTGGCCTTCAAAAGCTGAGACAGTTCATCAAAAGATACCTTTAAATATCCATATAGAAATGTTAAACTGTATTCATAATCTTTATTATTATTTACCATGGGGGAGAATGTTTACTCATTTGAAGATGTCATCATGTCATCTGTGTCTTTTAAAGTACGGAATGGATATAAAATACATATGTTCTCAATAACAAGTTAAAATGTAAATTGGCTTTTGTTTTAATCTTTACTTTCCATTTGGCAAATGCTCAGAAGCATGATACTTGATTAAAATAGAAAGAAAAGTATGACTTTTATATCACCTTGAAAATACATTAAAGTACGCTAAATATAATTATTAGTATGAAATAGTAATTTGTTAGATGATGCAAAGCTAATGCATTCTAGTAATAATGAAACTATATTATCCATTTGACCTGCCTAATCTGCCTAACTTAAAATTTGGGCTGACCAAAGAGATAAGTGAATATTTCTCCAATCTTCCTTTAGGAAAAATTTGTTAAAATTATTATTGAGAATATGTGGAATGGATGTTTTATTTATAGATATGTAATATTGTTACAATCACTGCCAGTGGCACACTTAGATGTACTTTAGCTCCCACAAGCCTTTTGACATACTATCCTGGATACAGTGGGCTAGCTTTCCTACACTCAAATTGCCTGATAAAGAATAATATGACACAGTACTGATGTGATACTCAAACGAGACAGGATATACTGAATTGTTTATATAGGAAACCCATTTATTCTTTTTTGATTATATTTTATAGGACTAGAATATTTCCACCGGGTACTGTTCTTAATTCTCCCTACACCCCACTGCCACATGGTGCCTCTGGGCAGAGAATTCCACTTAAAATCAACTTTAATGGGATTGTCTAGAAAAGGATAATGTGCTCCATTTTCTTTTCTTTCTTAACTGGTGGAGGAGAATCAATTTAATACAAGATCATTTGAAAAATATACACAGATATTTTAATATAAAATGAAAGTTTCCTGTTCTCCCAAACCTTGATAAAATAAGTTTAACAAAAGCATTCTAACTTAAGAGACTTTCTCAGCATAGGATTTTTTCTAGTTTTTTCCTCCTTTTTCAAGTATAGGGCATTATTAAGATATTTCATGTGATTCTATTAAGTACTAGTATTATTTGTTTGTGATACAGTAAATGCTGATGTTTGAAAAACTAAGGATTGAGTCAATTACTTTGCCCAGTGGATTAGGTTACAATTTAGCATACTCTCTTTAATCTAAAAAGTTTAAATGTCCAGAATTGACTCCTAATTCACTCATACCATAGACAGCACCTTTTTTTTGTTTGTTTGAACAATTAGGTTTTCCAAACAAATGATTCAATTTTTAAACAGATGTCAGGGTTTTTTTGTTTGTTTTTGGGGAGTGTGTGTGTGTGTGTGTGTGTGTGTGTGTGTAGGAATTTGACTTTTAAGACAGATATATTGACTAGCTTTTATTGAGAAATGCATTGTGCATAAAATATTCTTTATCATTTTACATTTTAAATGAATGACAAAATATGGGCACACACAAAGGGCATCTTACATAGAAAATGTTCTTGGGGAAAATTTCTATATGGTATTCATTCCTGTGTACAAGAGGTGTATTTAACTCAAAATGTGAGATTGTGTTTATACCCAACTAGGGATTTGTTCAGAGTTCCATCTCTAGGATGTATACAGAGAAGATGTATACATATATATGTATATATATGTACGCATATTTGTAAAGTAAATAGCAAGATTCTATTCTTCTATGCTCCTTAAGGATGGTGGTTCACACACACACAAATCCTAATTATAACTTCAAAACAAGCATTTATAGCTTATTTATTTATTGCAATTTTGCTGCATGAGAATTTGCATTTGCTTTCATAAACCTATATAGTGAAGAATTTGCCCTTATCTGATGACCTGAAATACATTTAATCACAGATAAATTTACACCACACTCTTCTGGTGTGTTTACATTTCAAAGGAAATGAAATCAGTGTGAAAAAGTTTTTAGAAGTACTGTAATTTTTTTTCATTTTTTTCCAAAGGGAACTATTTCAGAAAATAAAACATATAAGTAGACAATTCAAAAAAGATAAAATATATGTTTTTTTGACTAACATGCTATAAAAAGGATTATATTTGTGAAAGAAGATACTGATTGCCAATATTTCAAATACCATCTTGC